CAGACACCCAGTGGCCAAGGGGAAGAAAGGGGCATCCTTTTTTGGTTGGCTGAGTTCAAAGGGGAACCTTCCCCAAAAAAACGTCGTTGGAAAAGGCGGGTTCCACTAGGCGACTGGGCATGGCAGCCGCAAGTTCTTGCGCGAACGAACCGGGGTGCATTTCCTTCCCCCGCGCAGCGGAAGGCCGGGGCGCAGCGGAAGCCCGGCGCTGTGATCCGGCAAGACCGGGCGGGCGCCCAGGGGCGCGCCGTCGCCGGAGGGGGCCCCCCGCAGGCCACCCATGGACTTCGGGCCTCCGGAAGTGGTTCAAGCAAGTCATCGGTCCTTTTTGCTTGGCCTGGACATGTCATCAATTTTGTAGTTAAGCTTTTCAAGGTAATTATTCAAGAATAACAATACGACCAATACATACTAATATCATACTCTAGGGTTTTTTTGGTTTTGGGGGTGTTGGGCCAGAGTTTTGTGACGTGCCAAATAACAAGAGCTTGGAAGGGACAAGGTAAGCAGCAATCTGGCATATTGGTGTGTGACAAAAGGTCTTGAATTGTGTGGTGCATTCCTCAGGAATCAGCTGGATGAAAGGAACCCCCGATCTCAGAGACTCTTCTGGGGTTTGGAAGCCCCCACTCTTGACGATATAACGGCCTGCCAAAAAGACAACAGGCCTGAGCACAGTGAAATGTGTGCAAAGGAATCGGAAAGGGCTTAAGAACAGCCCAGAACAGGAGATTGCAGTTGTTGTGAAGCAGGGCTGGTACGATGTTGCTGAGATGGCTAGACATGATGTCGCCCAGAAAGTAGCTCACTAACACGAGTGCGCATCGCAGGGCATTCCAATGCATGACAATGATTCCTGGCAAACGTAGCTCATCACTCTGTTGGGGGTGTACCGGACGTATAACATCGTGGTTTTCTCTCTCTCTCTCTCTGTGTGTGTGTGTGTGTGTGTGTGTGTGTGTGTGTGTGTGTGTGTGTGTGTGTGTGTGTGTCTGCGCATGCGACTCGAGCATGGTTCCTTGGGACTTGTGGGAAAGCAACATGCGTTCAAAAGATTCGCTTGTGAGCAATGCACATATTAGGAAAAATAGGCGGAAGCATGCCCCAAGCGAGCTGGGGACACCAATTCTGCGAACTTTGGGCTCACTGGCTGCCAATTGTGATGCTCGAGGCTGTTGAAGAATCAAAGCATAGAAATAGCTGGAAAAGCAAACTCCATGTCCAGTCAACTTGTCCAGAAGCCGCCATGATAGCAGGATCTCATCGAATCTCCCAGCAACAAGTGACCCGATGTCGCATCAGCAAACCAAAATGCAAGACGATGCGTACTGTAAGCTTTGCCTCTCAAGTCAGCAGTCTCCCGATACCTTAAACATCAGGGCCAAACGGTAGGCCCTGGTCCCCTGGCCGCACGCAATGAATTTAAGCTGTGCCGAAGAGGCAACCAATCAAGATTCTTGTAACTTGATGTGCCAAATTGAAGAAGCAATGCACAATCGTCATGGTGTATGTCTCATGTACTGGATAGAATCACACCAATTCACATCTGAAAACAAACTGGCGTACTCAATATAATGTAGCGACACCGACATTCAAAAGCGACATGAAATAGCTAAGAAACACCCAAACACGCCAACCAACAGCAACCTAAACCAACTTAAGCCAGCCTAAACCAACCTAAAACAACCTAAACCAAGCCGAACCAACCCAAGCCAGCACCAAGCACCGACCAACAAATCACAGCCGGGTCGGGTTTTGCCCCAAGGCTCCGATGCCCAGGGCGGCGTCCCCTGCCCGCAGAACCGCTGCAAGGTATGCCAGGTCCTTGCTCGAGCGAGAGACTTCCGGGTCGCTCGGGTTCCAAATTTGGAAAGGCGGAGGCTTGGGAACGTGAACCCTCTTTTAATTCGACCCCAAAGTTGCCGGAAGGCAAGTACTTGTAGACGGTGGCACTATCGCCAACAATGGAGTACTCTCCTATTGATAGGGGTGGTTCTAAATGTCGGGATTCAATTCTCACTTCTGGAGGGGCGGTTCACCCCTCAATTTTGCTAGGACGGGTTTGTGAATCCTCAGAGAGTCAAAAGTATATAATGCTAATCCACAATCCGCAGTTGGACACCACAAGGGAAACAACTACAGCCCGTGCGCGCGGACTGAGGATTTATCTTGAACCCCACTTTTTCCGACACAATTCACCATGGTCCATGAGTCTCCACTGCCCGCCCGGCCGGGTCGCTCGACCCGCCCCGCTCCTTGGTACCTTCGGCCACCAAGACTTCACGGAGCTTCGCGCGGGCCTCGGGGCCCGCGGACTTCTCCGCGGCGCTCAACGTCTCGCACCAAGCCTCCCATGTCCCGGAGAGCCAAATGAGCAATCAAAACGCGGCATTAAAATGGTTGTCCCTTACTTAACCTTCATCTTCCCGGGTTTTGATTGCGGCTCAAATGGCTTGACAGGTGTCCTTGAAGGATTTTGCTGGTTGGACCTCCCCCCGAAAAAAAAAAGAGGAGCGTTGTTTTCATGAGTTGAAGGTGTCCTTTTCTAGAAAAAGTACCCTCCACAAAAGACGCACCCAAAAGTCAAATGGCTGTGGGCCAAAAATGGGTACCCAAAATGGAACCTAGTAATGTCAGGAGACGATTAGTAAACCCCCCCGATTAAAGGTTCCCCCTGTTTCCCCCCAGATTCTCACTAATACTAAAATAAAGTGCCAACAAGGTTTCCCCAAAAAAACCTTACCCAATTATTGTTGGGCCCTCCCCAAAACCCCCCCTGATTAAAGGTATCCCTCTGCAGCCCCCAAGCCAACAAAAACCTGCCAGAAAAGGTGCTTTCCTTCTTGCTTAGTATTTGCTTAGTCTGTGCTTAAACCCACCAATACTAAGTCACTATTGAAGCCCTCAAGTTTTTCCCAAAAATGTGCTTCCCCCGAAATGCATTTTTCTTTCATAAAATTTGTTTAAAATGACAAGGTTTTCAAGCTCACAAAGGGGATCCCCCTTGGAGGCCAGTCCCCCCTCATTAACAGGAAACCCCCCGCGATTGATCAGGGCCCTTTTGGGCTCAAAACCAAAACAATGTGTCGTTGCCTTTTAAAGTCCTACTGCCCCGAAGGGCCCAGAAGTAAGAGGACGAGGACCGAAGGGGCTCCAGAGTAATCAGGGGGGTCCTCCCAAAAATCTCAATTTTTGGGACTTGTCCAAACCTTGTCGACCTTGAAGGGGGGGGGGGGGGAGGGGGGGGTTTACTAATGAGTTGTCACCACTAAATGGACCGAAACCTGCGGTTCCTGGTGGTTGAATATTGACTCATACCCAAACGAATGAAGTGGAAACAACGACATACATCAATCCCACATAAATGGTGGGTACCTGTTTATGTGACTCAGACGAAGGTGCGCACCGGCAAAAACGAGATGAACCATAGAAACGGCGGACTTCGTTTATGCTTCTCAACGGGGATATGGACAATTCATGCCAGAAAACAAGGACCCAACGAAACCATCCAACGGAATCTTCATTTTACCCACCTTAGGGCTGCACGGAGATGCTTGGCCGTTCCATGCATGTTCAATGGTTTTCACCGCTTCAGCCCATCTGGACGCGTGTTTCTCCCCGGCTATCTTACCTAGAATTTACAGGGGACCATTCATTTGCGGCAACTTGGGTGCTTCTGGACAACTTGGATCTTCCCGGTGCTCGTCTGGGACAATATCTCAGTGTTGAATTTGGCAAAGCCTGGAGACTCTGTCTTTGTATGCAGGTACCAAAGGACGGTGACTGGCCCCTTGTCAAGGTCTCCAGCACGCATCTGAATCGTCAGGGTCGAAATGGCTGTCGCCCCCTCAAACCTCGAGGTGATTCTACATTTTTGACTCGGTAGTACAGTAGGGACCACGCCCTCATCTTCAGTTCACTATCATTGAAGGATTGTGGAACGCCAGGTGTCCATAATCGAAATTCTTTTTTTTTTTTAAATAATTGGATATAGAATGCGCAGTGTCAGGGCGCTCTGCCTATTCAAACGGAAGCCCCCGCTAAAGCTTAAAAACCTGAAAACCTGAATGACCGGACGGCTGGGCACCACCCAACAAGGAGGCATCCTCAACCCTCTGGAGTTCTTGGTTGCTGTTGACCCCTCTGCACAAAGTTTAACTCTTTCTGTGGGCTCAACGGAAAACCGAAGCCTTGATTTGCAAAAAGGTAAAGTCTAAAGATCCGTTGCCCAATAGTCAAGGATTGGTCGAGATTCATCCCGCCTGTGCCACCTCCGCAGGCGGTGAATGGGCTCGGTAGCTCACCAGCCATGGCTCCGTCATCGTTTTGTGTCGGGGTCCTGCCTTCCGGGTGTCTGGATTGTGTTGTCGCGGTGGCCCCTGCTTTTGTTGATGGGACAGTTTGCTTGTGATGGCTTGTTTATGGCCCCTTTTTGGTGTTTATTGATTTGAACGCTTTGCTGTGCTTGTTTGTATATTCATATTGTTGGTTGGTTCGCAGTGAACAACTGTTCTAGAAGAGGCATGCTGAATTAGCTGCGCATTGTTTCGTTTGATTTGATCATTGATGATCTGTTGTCTGATCCACATGGGCCATGCATGGACAGGTCCTGTTGTCCTATCGGCAATTGCTAATTGAACTCTGGCAGCGAAGTATTGCAATCGAGGGATCTGGAATCCACTGTTCCAATCCGGAGTCAGCACAGTCTCACGGCCGAGAAGCTGCAGGCAAGAGCAAAATGGGTATGCGATTGTTTGGGGCTTCCCTTACCAAGATGAAAGGCTACTCAAAACACAAATCCAAATGGGTCTGCCGTTTTTCAGGGGGCCACAACAGCTTCGGTTCTCCTTTTGGTTGCCCTTTAAAACAGACCAACAAGGTGTACATCAAAAAAAGACTGACCCAAATGAAGACAACCCGTCGAACTCGTAGAGGCATGCACAAGGGATGGCGATCCGCATTTGGTGTACAGCCCGTTTGCTCTAGGCTTGCCAGGGGGCCGGCAGGGGGATGAACAACAGCGACCAAGGCCAGAATGTGCCCGTCATCACCTGGGAAGCGCTGAAATCACAGCTTCCATCTGGGTATGTCTTTTTTGGAGGACCCAAAAAGGACTGGTTTCCTTGTGGGTTTCCCTTTAAAGCCACCAAAAAAGGGGGTGCCCTCAAAAAGAAAACCAGACCCATGGACTCTGGCGTCTTGGTTGGAACTATCTGGCCACCTTGTGGCGCCAACGGCTGCCAGAGGAAGGAAGGATCAAGGGATTCGGCATTTGGCTATGGGTCAAAACCCTGGTACCCCCGTGAACACCCAGAAAGCCTTCTTAAAAAGACAACAGTGGAGTGGTAGCCATCCCCATGTTTGGCACCCTAGGTTTTGACCCAACCATTTGTTCTTCAGTTTGAAGTACGGGCAAGACAAGCAATCTGGTTGCTGCTTCTTGGCTGCAATCCAGAGCAAGTTCTTGCCCCACTGAACCGATCTGCTGTCGTCGGCATACTGTCTGCCAGGTATTCTGTCAGCTGCGAGGTATTGCTCGCAGCTTCGTAATTCCGCTGACTTGTAAACACAAGCTTGGCAAAATTAGAGCTACTGGCGTCATTCGGCTCAAACACGCCAACGCGGGTGTTAAAGCAACCACACCCAAACATGGGAAAATCAGAAGTGTTCACCCAGGTTTGCCACCAATCCCCCGATCAACACCAGGTGAGCGTTTGGCCATAGCATGTATTCGGGTAGGATTCGCCTTGTCGGTATCCCCAGAGACTCACTTGCCCAAAGCACCTGGAAGGAAAAGGTAAATCCTCTTGGGGCCACGAAGGTAACCAAAAGGTCAGAAGGTCGGTTTGGGCAACTATTCACTTCCTTTTGGTTAAGACCCCTGGGAAATAACAAATATTTCCAGTGGTGATACATTCCCTTTTAAACCAACAGGGAAAATAACAAATATTCTTAAGCAAATGGAAGTTCTGCACACATGGCTTTGGTCTGGCCTTCTCATCCAAGGCACTGCTAGAGCCCCCACGCACCAGCTCAGAGACACGATCGCAGGGTACATCTTGGTGATCAGCGTGGTGTCTACGTTGTCCGTGTCGAAGCCTCGCCGGCTGTTCTGAGCATGGATAGCATGGGTCAAAGTTAAGCCACGAGGCGACCGCATGTTTTAGTCGTTGCTTCCAATTTGGGGTTCCGTTTTGGGCACCCATTTTTGATCCACACCCTTCTCTGCGCAAAAAAAAGAACCTGCCAAAACGCGAAAACCCGTCAAACCATTGCAACACTGACACAAACCAAGCGTCGAACTTCACTATACAGACTGCAAAGTCCTACCTGCGTTGGTGGC